AACCCTTCTTGTTACTCTTAACATCTCTTGCTAGCTGCAACTCCAAGTGTTATTTGGCCTTCACTGATTTCACTACTTCCAGTAGTTGGACTGGACTTTCTGACCTTACTTTAGATTAGTTTAAATCTTACCTTTGAGAAAGGACACAGGGAAATTGCTAATTTATCTAAGATTAACTGTGGTTGTCTCTTATGGGTGCCATATGTGACTTAGTTCTAGCTCTGCATGCTAACACTTTATATCAGCAGTAAGCATAGGTTCGTTCACTGTCTGTGATGCACAGACTTATTTCTCTTTTCCTACAGTACCAGATGCACCCAATGTTAACTATTTTACTTGTCTGTCTCTCAGTCCTAGCTGTCTGCATGTTCTTTAAACTTCCTGTATGTTCTTTTCCATCTGTCTTAGGTATTTATATGGCCCAAATCACCATAGTATCTGATTGCCTGATGCTTTTGAATATATTTATCCTCACAACACCTTGTGAGGGAGGGAAGAACTATCATCACTATTTTACTGATGGGAACTGAGGCACAGAGAAACTAAGTGACTTGCCCAAGGTCACACAGGAAGTCTGTGGCAGAACAGGGAAATGACTGTAGGTCTCCTGAGTCCTAGGATACTGCTCTAACCACCAGAACATCCTTCCCCTCAAGCAAAGTTTAGGTCCGGCCCCCTGTGATGTTATTTGTTTGGGACCTCTCAGGTGCAATACCCAAGATTCAGTAGGCAAATTTCTTCCCCTCATTTCTTCCCCAAATTACTGTGTCATGCCAGCTGGGGGCCAGAAATGCGGAACCTAGCATGAGGGGAAAAATAAGTATATGGCCTAAGGATAACTAAAGAGATAGATAGTTGCCTAAAAGTTAAGCATCTAAATCCATATTTGGACTCCTAACTAAACATAACCTGATGTGAGAGCACCTGATGTGCTTTCCATGGGACATGAAGGTGAAAGTTAGGCTAACATAGCCAGAACTGGGGAGTGTTTGCAGAGGGCATTAGAAGAAGAGAGGATGATGCTTCCCTGCTAAGCTGCAATGGAAGGGGAAAACATAGTGAGTCACCAGCCACCCTCAGCTAGTTACCCCCCCAAGTTCTCTGTCAGCATGAAGCAGCTCACATTACTACTGAGTTCCTCATGGACTCTTTGGTCTGAACCTTACCTGTGGATCAGATACTTCAGGGCTATTATTCCGCATACGTGTTGAAATCCTCACCACTCCAACTTATACCTGCTGAATCAACAACATTGCTCAAATCAACATTCAGTCTACACCTACCTTTTGAACTTTGCTTTATCTTCTTTCCTTGGGAAAGTGTTCTAGACAGCTTTGCTTGAGGGACACCATGATTGACTGGATACACAAGCGTAGTTCTTTTCCTCCATCCTCCTAGAACCCACAAACAGCGTTCCAAGCTTTAGTATCCTCTTTAACTATGTTTCAATCGAGTGTGCAGCCATGTATATGTGAGGACCAGGGGGAACATTCCTCCCTACAAAGGAAAAAAAAGTAAATTAAAATGTAATTACAAAGTACAGTAACCGTGGAAGTGTTATGTAATAAGCACATCTCTTTAGCTGCTTATATTTAGTTCATAATTTAAACAGCTTGGTTTCATGATTTCACTGTAGCAAATCCTCTACTATCCATTTTTAGCAGTAATTTCACACAATTCATGCTGTCTTTAACTGTTGATATCTTCTAAATACCCACAATGACCTGAGTTTGACACTTGCTCAGAATTTCTCCTGATAGCAGGAGAACTATGTAAAATCAAATTTTTCATATGCTAAATGTTCTATCAGCCTGTTGTTCAAATGTACCACTTAATACACTGAGGCTTAGCACGTTATGCTGTCACTCATTTTCTTGTTACATTATACAATGGAACATAGTATCTGCCCCTGATGGTACCTGAAGTGATGTAGCTCAATGTGGCAAACTTGAAAAATACAGTTTTGGAGAACTGCAGGTAAAGAAAAAAAATTGTTTTGTTTTTTTAAATTAGACACCAGTTACTTTGAAAGACATTGGGCCTAATTCTACTTTCAGAAACACTGGTATATAACAGAAGTAACTCCCTCTAAGTCAATGGAGTTCCACTAGTAAGCAGTTCCTGTATAAGTGGGAAGAGAAACAGGCTTTGTTTCTTCAGATCAGTTGCAGGTACAAGCAGCGAGAAATTTTGCTCAGATGTTCAGTTTTTGAAGTTTTGATTCATATGTGTTTTGAAAGAAATATATTTCAACCTCAGAGGTGCTATTGTGATCAGAAAGGCAACATCATAATTTGTGCAAAACCATGACACACACATATATATATATATATATATATATACACACACACACACACACACACACACACACTACTCTACTACACCTACCTACCC